AGGTCCCATTAAGTGGTTCCAGCTGGATTTATGAAAAACAGGCTCTGTCTTGGAAGAGCAAAATTGCAGCCGGGGTGTGTGTGTGTGTCACAGGGATGTGGGGATTTAGAAAAACCAAGAACTTCCCGCTCTTGGAGAAGGCAAATGTTGCCTGCCAGAGTCCCTCACGCCCCCTGCCTCTGTAACGCCATGGATGCCGTGGTTGATCCCAGTGGACTGAAATGTGGAAAATGGGTTCGATTCTCCTTCCACACACTACATTTTCACCGATTTGACTTCTATCAAAAAATCCTAGGGATCAACGTTTGGTGACAAATTCTCCTCCTTGGGCCACAGCAGGTGATATAACACACTACATTTTCACCGATTTGACTTCTGTCAAAAAATCCTAGGGGTCAACGTTTGGTGACAAATTCTCCGACAAGGACCGCAGCTTTCCTCGGGCCAAAGCAGGTGATATCGTTTGCCTGGCGTAAGAAGCCGAGCAATCTTGAGAGGTTAAAAAAGAATTACCGTAAAACCAACTATCTCCGTTTATTCAGACATAAGCTTGCCTCAATCTCTCAATCCCTATTTTGCAAATTTCTTTGCGTTTTTAAAAAGGCCATCAGGAGATCAATATGGGCTTCATTTCTGTGCCCCATACATATAGCACCGAAAGATTTTTAATGCCTGGAGGGAAAATATCCCCAGAGCAGGAAATATGCATTTTCCTTAATGCACGATTTCATCAGGGAGTGGCCAGAACCCTACGGGTGTTCGCTTATATTCTGTGTAACCTGCCACGAAGTTTTCATCTGGCTAACCGAGTCGTCCTAAACCCCCACCTGCCGTCTAGTCAACTGTAAAGCATGCTGGGATTCGTAGTTTCACCACAGATGCAATTTATCCACCTTTAGGCAATGGCCAACCACTTTTGAAGATGTTTATGCCATGGAAACCTGGTAATGAGGGAGAAGCTTTGGGAGATCCCGAAGTCATAAGCTCATGGTCACCCCTAGCAACATAAGACATAACACTGAAGTTTATGGGATGGCAGCCTAAATCCATGCGGATAGGCTCAAAATTGCTGGTCACCTAATTGGCTATTTTGCGAATTACAAGTGCAAATCCTAACCCTTTAAATTTCTACATCAACAAGGAAAGAATGCAGCCTTAAGACTTTCTTGAAGAATCTTAGTGTTGGAAGAAACCCCAAGGTAATCTGAACCTCCTGCTATTTGCAACATTTTGCAAAATTTACAAAATCCATTTTTTTAAATCTGTGTGTGTTTTTTGGGGGGATGTTTGGCATTCTTGGGGGTATGAGTTCAATGAAGGCTTAGACTCTTCTGATTACAGGATCTTGTAGATTCGTGGGGGGTCGGGACCCTCACACAGTCCTGCCTTCACGCCATTAGTACAGACTCACTGGCTTGGCATGCAGCCCCTTCCAGTTATCCAGGATCTGTCATCCAGGAGACATGGCTTACATGGGTGAAGGGGATGAGTCTGGATTTTGCACGAGTCAGAATCGCTGAGAAAGGTATGAGGCAGCAACTTTTTATGATTTCAGCCCAGAGATCGCTCAGAATACAAGTCACCTTACAGGGTTTTGCTGTGTCAGCGGGAATGCTTCCCAGGAGCAGTGTCGGATGCAGCTGTGCACACACAGGAGAGGAGGAAAGCTCAGAAGAGCGAGGAGACGTTCCGCCCGGGGACCCGGGAGAGAGACGTTTTCTCCCTTGGCACAAAGCTGCGGCTGCCCTTCTCGGAAAGGGACATAGCCCTTGAGCTGAGGATCCCGGCTACGTAGCTCTGGGCCAAAACGGAAGCCATATTAACAGCGGGAAGATCAGGCGCTGTGCGAGAGGTGGGGAAGGGGCTGAATCACGGCAGCTCTCTCACTAAGCCTGAAATGCCATCCCAACGAAAACAGTCATTGGCCCAGCCGGGAAGGTTTAACTGAAGCCAGCTGAATTCTTTTTTATCCACTGAAAGGCCTCCGCAGAGGGCACGAATGATGGGGGAAAAGGGGAAGGGGGCCGCTCGCCCCCTCGGACCTCCCAGGTTCCTCCACACCCTTGTTTCTCGTGGCTTAGAAACTGCTGGATGGCTTGGGGGCTTAGGCATCTGGAGTTCAAATCTTCCCCCGGGGGGCTGGACTGGATGATCCATGAGGTCCCTTCCAGTTGTGCTGTTCTATGATGATGATGATGATGATGATGATGATGATGATGATGATGATGATGATGATGATGTCTTGAAACATGCTCAGAAGCACCTTGGTCTTTTTCATTGTCCTGAATGCTCTGGAGTTGCTGCATTCATTCATTCATTCATTTAGTTCATTCGTTCGCTCGTTCGTTCGCTCGTTCGTTCGTTCATTCGTTCACAGCCCCATTAGTGCAACGCACTGTCCTGGGCAGTTCACAACACAAGGGATCTATCAAGATGGACTTGTCCATTCTAGCAGCTAGAATTCACAAGCTAGTCTTCGTATTCATTGCAAATTCTCTCCAGCATGTCTTTCTCACGCACACATCATTTCCTCAACTGTTTGTTGCAGGTCCCCCTACCGGGCATCAAGGTCTCCCCGCCCACCCCCAAATCTCAGGTTTTGGCCCTTGATCTCAGGGAAGGAAGGTAGCTGTCCCGGCAACCCTGTGAAACCGTCTGCGTGGAGAGGATGCTGACATGAGACAGGATGCTGGTGAGGTTTGCTCTTGCTATTCCCCTCTTTTCTTCTCACAAGAAGAACAAGTCCACCAGCCCCCCCCCTCCCGACAATCAGTTCTCGAGCTGCTTTGGGACCGTTTTCGGCTTTGGCAATCAGAGGCCAAGTTATTTGTGGGTCTGACGCAGGCAGCCCTTGTTCAGATGGCGGGGAGGCCGGGGGGGGACTTGGTGGACGCAGGGGGGGAAGGGTCTTTCATTTATCCTCTGGCCATCTCCTGATTCAGATGGAAGCACGATGTGGATGCAGATGTGGATGCAAAAAAGTCCGATGCTATTTTAAGGGTGCATGAGCAGAAGTATAGTCTCTAAATCCCGCAAGGTGCTAGTCCCACTTTATTTGGGACTGATTGGGCGTCTCCTTGAGTCCTGTGTCCAGTTCTGGACATTGCACTTCAAGGACGATGCTGATGATTTGGGACAAGTTCAGAGGAGGGCGACAAAGAGGATCAGGGGGCTGGAAACCAAGCCTTAGGAGGAAAGGCTGAAAGAATTGGGGGCCTGTTTAGCCTTGAGAAAAGGAGATGGAAGAGAGACAGGATAGCACTTTACAAAGACTTGAAAGGTTGCCCTGCAGAGGAGGGTCAGGATCTGTTCTCCTTCATCCCAGAATGCAGGACAGGTGATAATGGGCTCAAGCTATAGGAAGACAGATTTAGGCTGACTATCAGGAAATACTTCTTAACTGTTAGAGCAGCGCAACAATGGAACCCATGGCCTCAAAAAGTGAGGAGTGCACCAACTCTGAAGACATTCAAGAGAACGTTGGACCGCCCTCTGTCCAATCTGCTTTGATTTGGATTCCTGCCCTGAGCAGGGGGTTGGACGTGATGGCCTTAGAGGCCCCTTCCAACTGAGTTATTCTACGATTCTATAAAGCTATTAGACAATGGACGTTTCCATTCTTTGGCCTTGCCTTGCCTTGGCTAGTCAGCCCCCCCAACC